GCGAAAAATTCGATCAGAATTTTTTTTTTGTTCTGCAAAATTTGAAAGAAAAAAAAATGCGCTAGGATAGATTAATCATAAAAACTTCGGCCTCTTAGTTGTAAGTTGAGATGGCGACATAAATGCCGGAAAATTTTTTATGGAATGCTTCAGTAGAATTTTTTATAGGGTTTTTTAGTGTTTATATTGCAGATCACCTCCGTCTCCCAGCTTTTACATTCCGCCCTCTGCCGCTTTCTACATTCGGCCCTCAAACGAACGCCAGAAGTGCACCGGACGGGAGCACTACGATGTTTGGACAAGCGCAAAATTGAAGCACATTGTACCAGATTAAATAACAGGTGAATCGCAATCCAATAAAATGTGCACTCTCTAATTCAACAAAAAATTGATCCACATCTTGAAAGGTGCTGCAGCAAATCCGCGAAATCTAATAAAGGCGGTGAAGCGTGGCGAAACCACTGTGAAACGTCACCGGAATCGTTGTCTTTAAGCTCTCGATACCAATCCAGCAACGAAGGCAATTAAATCAGATGATGCTAAACAAATTTTTTTGTCCTCCGTCGTTACCGATATGTCTAAGGAATTAATAAATTTTTAACTTCTTTGCCTTTCCAGTCCAACCTGACGCTTTATTGTTTACCGACAAATCTATCACCAACGAATCTAGGAATAAAAATCTGGCCAATTGTTGATTAATTTAATACGGTAACGGCAACATTACGCAGAAGTCCCCGGGGTAATCATCTCCTCAATACAGTTTTCTGAGGCAGACGAACTGAATGAGGATGCACGCAGCAACTCGTTCTTTCCTTCGAAGCTGTCTTTACCATGAAATCCAGAACAAGTCTACAACTTATTATAAAACAATGTTTTCAGTATTACTCAGTAATCTTTAAAAATGAGGGAAAAGCTATCACACTATGTTACTTTCGATGAAACTCAGAATGACAATTCAAAGGCATCTCGAATGTGACCATTCTGTTCTTGGAGTTTGAAGCCATTAGCTCTGTTACTCCAGTTGCTTAGTGGAATTTAGTATCTCCCCTTCCCCTCTCCCTTTCCCAACCGTAATTCTCCCCTTGTTATCCCCCTACTCTTTTCCTCCAATGTTTCTTCTTTTCCTTCATCTAGTTGACTGTAAAATAGAGAGCGAAAGAATGTTATAACATTTAAATTCATGTAAACATTGAGAATTATGGGAAGAAATTGCTTTTATGAAATAAGGTGTTTATACAGTTGCATCGGTTGCTTGTAAATTTCGAAAGTTTCCATGGTTTACCGTATTTCTGGCTCTTCCCGGTCGTCAGGTGAACCCCAGAACAGTTAAGTGCAGTAAGTCAAAACAACTCTATTGATGATTACTTTGAGAGTGAGGAATTTCCTTTTGCCCAGAAAGAAAATTTGTAGCCAAAATCCACAGTAAATAACCAGCCGATTCAAAGCAATCGAAGGCAGTGCACAGAAATACTGAAACTCAGCACTGTGATCGGAAAAAAATGCAGCAGTTTGTGAGGTAAAGCGCCGATCGTTTGATCCCCGGTTTTGTTTTGGTCATAGTGCAGAGAAAGCAACAATACTGCGAAATTTACAGAACAAGTTCAGGAATGCTGACATCAGCAAACTCTATATCATCGTTTGGTGGTGTGAAGGGAACGTTGATAGTGTACAGTCTAAGTGCGCCCGGTTGTCGGCCTCCTGGATCCGTTTTCAATAGATCCATTAATAAACCGTAGCGAATAAAAGATTCCATTTGCAGGAAGCCAATATTCAAGCCGCGGCGCACATTCATCGCTTGTGCTATCTGAAAGTTACCATCAAAAACTGCTGCTGATTTGTTATATTTATCAGTGTCATTTAATTCATGCCGAAGCATGTAATGAGTTAAGAGGATGAACAGAACAGATAGTAAAAGTAACATAGGATGCACAGACACTACTTG